TCGATCGCCGGAAGTTGACTTTACACGCGTGGCCTCGCATTGGTGTCAAAAGTACATGACGTCAATCCAAGATGGCTGCTGTGCGATAAAGGCGAATTGATTTTTTCCCTTGCAATTATCCTTTCCTTTTTCTCACCTCTTTTACTCTTGCCTGCTTTTGCTCTTCATATCCTTTCTGACAGCTCACGTTTTTTCAATTAGCTACGTCAGTGCGGTTGATATCCAAAACAGACAGTTGTGTGGAAAGATCTATCCTAGCTCTATTATCTGCTTATCAAGAATATCTATTGACACCTAAATTGATGATGTCACAAGTGGTACTACCTACAAAGTGCATGACCCCTCAGCATATGAAAACGTTTAAGGGTTCAGTAGCTCTCAGTTGAGTTTTTATTAGCGTATAAATCACAGACTCAGAATACTTCAACAATATACAACCAGACAATAAATACAAGTGCCTTCTAAATGGGAGCAATTCATTGCAGATTCACCATCCACTAAATCCAGATGGAAGCCGTTCAACAAGAGGACAAAGAGTACATCTTCAGCTCTGGGATACTGCTGGACAGGAAAGGTAAACTGACTTGAACTGTAAACAGGTTGATCATACATGGTAAACTAAAATGTAATGAAACATTAGAAATACTTTGCCCTACATCAATTTTTATACATACAGGTAGTTCTTGAATGCCAAATATTCCTATATATTGAAGGCGTAAGTAGAGGGTGGGGATGGGTGGGGGGTGGGGGATAAGTAGGGTTAGCCTAGTTGTGAGAGCACGTGCCTCCTACCTTTGTGGCCTGGGTTTGAATCCTTGATGGTCTGGCATCGTACATACATTCTTGCTCCAAGGGTTTTTTTTTTTGGTTTTGTTGTTGTGTTAGCAATAGTCCCTTCTTTTCGTGTCTCTTAATTTTTGATATGCTCTTTGCATATGCATTGTTTTTTCAGATTTAGGAGTTTAACTACAGCATTCTTTCGAGATGCCATGGGATTCCTTCTAGTCTTTGATCTGACACATGAGCAGTCATTCTTAAATATTAGGAACTGGTTAAGTCAGCTACAAACACATGCTTATTGTGAAAACCCTGATATAGGTATGGCTAATCATTGCATTACACATCCATGGCATTTACTCTTACAGCTGTAAGTTAATCCCTCACAATTTAATACCTCAATTCGAACAGTATCATCTTCAGTACATGTAGCTTGCAGATAGAGGGCTGTCTTTAATTTTCAAAGTAGGAGGATGTTCAGAAAATTAATGGACAGGGCATGTAATCATTCCTAGGGTCGATATAAACAGTGCTTATAGCTTGCTTGAAAAATGGTAGGTTTGGTTTGTAACACAAAGAGACTAGTCATAGGCTTGTTATGAGCTTTAAAGTTCTTAGTACCACTGTTCCAGCCCCCATATAATAGACTGGCTGAAGTGAATATGAGCAATCCAAGTTTCTAGTATGATCTGGGGCAATTATACTAAAAACAATTGAAATGTAGAGTCTCAGAAATGCCATTCCCTTTAAAAGGTAGTCTTAACATGTATTTCCCATCAATACTTGCTTCGTTCTGTGTTGATTTTCATCAGGTTATGCACCTGTCCCAGTTGTTTCACAAAGTTTGCAGACACCTTACATTTAACTAAACATAGCAGTTATCCACTTGTTTAAATCTGTTAAGTTACTAAGCATTGACTTTGATTCACCAGTGAGTGACATCATCTTTTCTTATATGATCCAAAATTTACTACCCTCTACAAGTTAAGCAACCCATTCACATTCCAGTTGATGTGTTGCTTTGATGGTTTCTGTTTGTATTTCTGTCTTAGTCCTAATTGGTAATAAAGCAGACCTTGAGGATCAGAAACAAGTGGATGAAAATGAAGCAAGAACACTTGCAGAGAATCTGGGTCTGAAGTATTTTGAGACTAGTGCATTTAATGGACAGAATGTGAGCAAGTCTGTAGAAGCCCTGCTTGACCAGGTAAGACGGTGACTCTTAATTAAGACACAAACTAACAGGGTTGTCAAAAGCAGCTGGCTGCCAGTGAACATTTCCATCTACTTCATGATCTCAGCTGGCTTTTCTGTTTCAGCCGCTTTTTCCTGTCTGACTCCAGCAATAAAGCTGCCTATATGTACTTCAAAACGTTGTGACAACCCTGTTGTTAAGCAATCATAGAAAAAACAAAGAATAAAAATTACTTATATTGTGCCTTTTAACATACAATGATCAAGGATAATGGCATTACATAATGGCATTACATGATGAATTCAGAAAATTATATTAAATTTTCGAAAGCTAATTTAAAAAGTAGCACTAAAAAGTCATGACGTTCTGACCTCTCCAAGGTCATTTTCAAGTGAGTAATATTTCCTAAATTAGCATAAACGTTAAAAAATGATCAAAGAACTGAAACCAACGCTAAACAAACAGTGCGATTCAATTCACGCCAAATTATTTGTTTAGAGCAATTCTTGCTAAGACTATTTTATTTTTCCATTGTATATTTTTAACACTTTTTCACATAATTTATCACATTTTAGCGTTCGTCACATTTTTATCTATTATAACTTGTTTTTAAGGTGGCTCCCTATAGTTTTACAATCGCGTGAGCGCTAGGGAAGTAATCTGAGCACGCTCAAAGGTAACCGTCAGTGTTTTTCGATATTTTATAGATATATGACGTCAGGATGGCGCAATTTGTTCTAAAAATAGAAAAATTGTCTCATATCATAGGTGCGCGGGGATCCCAAGACTTACGGTCTCCGTCCCCGATTATGGCTCCTGTTAAGACTGGATGACCCAGAAAGGCCGAAAAATGAGCGTTTCGACTACTGTCGATCTTTCTAACGAATCTGGAGTAAAACTAGGCCATTCCCTGATCATTTCGGACATTCTGTGCGAATAATCAACGGATTAAGACTGAATGACCCAGAAAGGTCGAAAAATGAGCGTTTCTACCATTGTCGGTCTTTCTAAAGCATCTGGAGACAAACTGGGCATTCCCTGATTATTTCGGACATTCTGTGCGAATGATCAACGGATTAAGACTGAATGACCCAGAAAGGCCGAAACATGAGCATTTCTACTTACTGTCGATCTTTCTAAAGCATCTGGAGTCAAACTAGGGCATTCCCTCATGATTTCGGAAGTTCTGTGCGAACATATGACTGGATTTATGAAAACCGTGTTAAGACTTTGCACAAAATAGCGGGCATGTTTTTGGAAAATCGGTCAGATATATTTTGCAAGTTTTGTTAATTTCGTCATGCCTCTTTGAGTGAGAGAAAAAGAGACCAACAGTCAGAATAAAAGTGACTCTAGCAGATAGGTCAAATCTAACAGTTAACTGCATCGACCATCCACCTTGCGATGTTTCAAATCACAGATGATGACATATTAACCCGCACATACTTGACAAAGAATAGTTGACAACATTAAAATTGAACGGTAGAAAGTGTACAGAGTAGGTAGAGGAGAGGTAAAGCGGAGAGGTTAAAGAGTGGATACAGAGTGGATAAATAGAGAGGATACAGAGCGGGTACACAGAGAGTACAGAGAGAGTACAAAGCGTATACTTGGGTGGGGCGGGTACAGGCCCAAAAGTGCCAAAGAAAATGCCTAAAGGACCACATCTTTATTCTCTTTAAGCCTTTACTCCTTCTGCAGTCATCGACGGAGCAACTAACAAGGTTAGCTGATGTCGCCTTTTAAACTCATTATTTACGGTCTATATTATACCGTATCCATTCTAAGGTTATTCTAGATCACAAAAACAATAAGAAACGGTTAAGGTCTTGATAACAGATAGCCTTGTAGTCCTTGAAGTGTCTCTCAGCGTAATGGTTACATAATTTTACCCGTTTTCCCCCTTGATAAATAATGTGTATAATTCATGAATGCATGTAAACAAGACAGGATGAAGGGTAAGAGAGTTAATCCCTAATGTTGGCCTTATTCCCTGTCGATCTGTTTTCAGATCAATTGAAAATCCCAGCAGAGTCCAGAAATATCCAATCCTGTAACGCGGAGTGTGGTCACGTGGACAGCCCACACGGTTTTGCACGCCATTTCATCCTCCACGAAAACACCACGCAACGCATATGGAAACTTTATGCGATCCGCTGTAGGCCCGGGTACCATGTCTAAAAATAACTTGAGAGGGATTACCCTGGGAATAAACACTATATGATTCTCTCTAACCCTTCATCCTCTCTTGATGTTAACTGGTTTCAATAATCACGAAATTTAACCCTGTTCGTTCCTCAGTGTATAGCAGTCCATCCTGTGAACATTTTAATCTATTCTTGGGAACAGTTTCTTTTAATTTCCCAAATCAAAAAGTATTAAACACGTCTATCGTGTTCTAACAGCAAGGCATCAGGATCGCCGAGGTGTCTTTGTGACTTCACCAGTCTCGTTGGTTGCGTTCGGAACTAACAATGGGCTCTGTGGATATCATCTCAGTCTTCATGCTGTCATATGATGGCAGTAAAGGTGCATCTGGATGTGGCTTCGTCAACTTTTGAAGCTGCTGAATCGTGAACACAAAGTATAATCATCAGCTCACAAGAATATGCAGTTCAGAACAGTCGGTCGCCCGGTTCCTCCCCTATACATGTTAATCTGTTGCTGTATGTGTTGCATCTCCGGGGGAAAAAGTGCTAAGAATTGAAAAACAACCAAACGAGGACAAAATAACATTGTGAAAAAACTGAACCCCAGAACAACCACTATGTGCTCGCTAACGAGTTAGTTTGTTCTGCAAAGTGACATGTAGTGATGCGGACCGCATTTCTATAAATTCATCGGATGATTATTATTTCTATGTAACTTGCTTCCAACTGAATCATGGACTGAATAGCTAAAAAAAAAGCTTAAAAACTTCACTGGCCGCGACTCTTCACGAAGAAGTCACGAAACATCCGCGATATCATAATGAAAGGTAAGTCTCGTCGAAAATTCACATAATTACAGCTAAATACTAGTGTTGGTCGTTTCTTAATAGGATGTAAATTGATCCAAATTAAAACAGTTAGACTAGTCCTTATTAACTATTCGGAAGGTAATTGCAATGTGATCATCCGCATGTGTAGTCAATACAAACTTACCATTTTTCTTCCAAGTTGTGTGAGGATATTGGAGCTACAAAACAATCAACAAACTGATAATAGCGAGAGAGCCTGGTACGATTGAAAAAAAGGTTCGGACTATAGGAAAATCTTTGTTTACAATATTTGCCTCATTACCATAAGCGATACAGTTTCTGATGGAGCTACAAAGAGATTAATACTGAATATTGAAAAGAGCACAGCACGATTAACTGTCCCAAGGAATTTGAGCGCGATGTGTTAAATACTTTTCGTGTGACGAGGGTTTAAAAGCTCAAAATTTTACAAAGAATGTATGAGCTCATTAGCGCTTTTGCCACACAGAAAACTAAAATCATGGACTAGATTGTCCGATAATGCCAATACAATATATAATATATACATGTAATAAGTTGGAGAGGACTAGGTGTGAAAGCGAATGCAAAAACAGCATTCAAAACATGACACTTGTGCACGCAACGCCATAAATGATTACCTCATGGAGCCACCTTAACATATTTATGCTAATTTAGAAAATTTTACTCACTTGAAAATGACCTCAGAGAGGTCGAAACGTCATGACCTTTTAGTGCTAGTTTTTATTTCAAAATTGATTTCTAAGAAACTACTTATTAGTTTAAAAAGGTACGTTTTGAGTAAGGATTTAAACTAAGGATTTAAATTTAAAGTGATAGTCTGCAATAACAGCAATCCATGGTTAACTTTCTGTGATTTGCAATAACACGTGAACTGAGTGCACAATCAATCATGCTTACTGACCTTTCAGGAGGCAGGTGTTTACTTCAGTGGGTTCAAAAGGTCACATACATGTAGGATTCATTTGTTGGTTGTAATTGATAGATTTCAATCCATTTTGTTTGCTTATTTCATTAAGGTTTGTTGAATGTCATGATTATGAGGGATGGTGCCAAAACAGGCAGTCGCTAGTTTCGATTTGAACTGTTGAGTTCATGTATCGTTAAAAGGCTCAGTTGCAATACTGCATTGCTGCACCTTTTTTTTGAAGAGACTGATTATTATGTTAAAGTGAAGTTATATGTAGGCATTCAGTCTATCCTTATAGGTGGCTAACCTGTGCTTAAAAAGTTTCTGAAGCAACTAGGAATTGATTTGCTATTCTTTCTGGATGAGGTGTAAGGCCATCACAGTCTATGACCCAGTATTTGGTCAGTGAGGGTCTTTCTTTCTTGAAGTTCTTTCCAAGTCAGATGACCAAACAACATAAAGTAACGAAAACCTAACACGTGATGTAACCAAACTCATTTTGTATGTCATAAAAATATTATTGCATGGTATCTGTGTCTCTGGAATGTTTCTTGTCTTTGAATGGTTTCTTATTACTTTTTTTATCTTGTAGGTTATGGCAAGAATGGAAAACTGTGTTGATAAAGCCACATTACCTAACAATGTTTTTAACAACAACCCCAACAGAGGCACAAAATTGAGAGAAGTTGATGAAGCAAATGATGAATCACAAGGTGGCTGTTCTTGCTAGTCTGATGCTGATGTGATAGCAATATTATTATTGTTACTTCCCAAGTGGATTTTAAAGTGCATATGAAAATACATGTATATGAACTACATTCATTATATGTACATTCTTTTCAAATAGGAATTGGTCATCTTGAAATAAGAAGAAAATTGATGAAAATTGTTATAGCAGTCTAGGGAATGAATATAATTATATTATTAATAGTTTTGGTTCAAGACTAAGCATGGATTTTGTTGGGCCTCATGTGAACTCACTTCCTTGAAGTTCAAACATTTGGTTCCATGTTGGGTAATTTACATGTATATATATAAGAGGTCATTTTTGATGTGTATGTCCTGGTAAGTTAAATTGAAATGTTGTTTAATTGGACACACACAACATCTTTCACGTGCACTTTAAAATGTACCACCAAATAAAGAAGGCTAAATCTAATATTATTATTAACATGAAATGCTATGGCTAGGTGTGAATAGTAGCCGTATTTATTGTTTGGATAGAGATGCATGCAAGTTTACCATTTTGGCAAAGTCCAAATTTTTATTTGTAAGAGTGGAATAATGAAATTGGGTCAAAATACCCAGAAAATGGATTATTCAATATGTAAAAATCACTTTTCCAAAACCAATAAATGTTTTGGAACACAACTGGAAATTGCTAAATAAGTTTACAACTTCCCACACTTTTGCAATTGTTGCCATACTGTGTAGCTAAGTGATGGAAATAAGTCTTTCTTACATGGAATAACGAGTCAGATTAAACATTCTGTCTTATTATTATTTTTTTTTTTATAACTTTTTTTTATGAAACCATGGCTCCATTTATGTACTAATTACCCTTGTACCTAGATTGCCTTTTTTCTGTTTTCTCCGTGGCCAATAAGTGCCCAGAAGTATGCAAGAGGTACAGAGCATGTGGTATATTGGAGCCCTTTCAACAGAATTTGTCGTCTTTCCTGTCTTTCCTCTTAAAATTGATGATTTTGTACAGGTGACAAATTTATCCTTGTCATCCTTTTCCTTGCCAAGATGTGGCTACCAGAAAAATAATTTGATAGTCGACTCTTGGGTTTATTATAAAGGGTCAAAGAACAAACAGGTACATTACTTTCTGTAGTTTGTGTGTAAGAAACATCCTTATAAGACTTGTACTAAATCAACCTTACAGTAATTATTAACAATGATTATTGGCTATTTTTTAGTTGGTATCTCTAGAAATGTGGCCTACTGTGATCAAATTTTGGGATTTTGGGTTATACATGTTGAAGTTCCAAATAGCAGCAATATCTTTGGGGATAATAGCATCTTTGGTTGTAGAATTCAAAATCTTAGTGCTAGTGTTGAGGCTGGTGCCCTTGCCCACCTGTACCCTTGCCCCGAGATTCTGGAGGGGGGAAGTCAGAAATCGTTGTTTGAATGACATTTTTAGCCACATAAAAAAATGAGCCACAAGGTTGAAGGAGGTAACTTCAATTTTTGTAATAATGTCATGGCTGAAAAATGCAATCTTCCAAAATAATGTGCTTTTAGTCTTTAATTTTGCTGTTCTGAATTCTGAATATATTTCTTAATGTTTCTTAATTTGTAATTATACACTAGTGCAATTATTTATATTCTTATTCTTTCATAATGTCAAAATTGACTTGTGAATAGTAACAAAATAAATTTTTTTCTTTGATAAACTGTTCATGTACACTTAGTAAATGATTTGAACACAGATGCGTCTGTAGATTGTATAGTGTGATCAGTACCCGTGCAGCTGCAGGCTACTGGCATTTTGACAACCTAAGTGAAGTCATCTTGAGAGTTAAGATTGTTTTGGGGTAGACACGTGGCTATTTTCTCTCAGTTTGTTGAAACGCCAGTCACCAAGTCCATCAACAGCAGTCATTTTCAGGACTGCTTACGCACACAGTCACGCTAGATGCACCCAAAGCCAGTACAAAAGGAACACAGATTCATACCTTACCTATATAATGAAATAAGACTCTGTTGGCGCGGAAAACATTATGTGACATAACTGTTTGTTATGCCCCTCAACCGAAATACCTCTGAGGATTGGACAAGATCTTATCACGGGACTGGACTCGCGCGTGATTAAGTCACGCGTGTTGTAGTAATCATCGAAAATTACAAACATAGGCAGGCAATGAGTGCATGAGCTATTTTGGAGGTTGGTTTAACCTCGTTTAGTCAGGAGTGATTCACCTTACAAACGTAACACTGAAATACCTAACATTTCCATTGCCCGATCTTCACACACGCTTTTGGCGACAGCAATTTCGTCGGCGGTTTATGCGTCATTCGCTGCTTCACACGTTGTTCCAACCGGGTGTTAACATCTTTTACCCCTGCTTCCNGCACAGCTCTCCGGGTCATGAAGACACACAAGCTTCACCACCACGGCAAGGTGTCAGCCCAAGGTGAAGAACACTGAAATACAGTTAGTGTTATTTCCATCCTTTTCACCCTGTGTAAGGACTCCGGAATTCGCTTCATATATAGATGTTCGTTCGATTCATTGCCGAGTATTTCCGTTCCAATTGATTTTCCTCCCAGAATTTCGAAATTTTCGGTTGAATGGTTCGCGCTTTTCAGAAATTCATTATTTTCCAGATTTTTGAGACTTTCTCAGGAAATTTTGCTTACCTTTCGTTCGCGTTTCTTAATTTTTCGGAATTTGTGGTTGAATCAGAAAGAACCCCTCTCAAGGTCGTCCTGAAAGCTTTCCATTCGACTAAAAATTTCGGTTTAATTTTCCAGACTTTCCATGAAAGAAGACAACCTGGCGAGCTTTACCCAACATTTCGAAAATTTGGAGAATCTCGGCAATTTTCGGTTGAATGATTACCTTGTCGGAAATTCAACAATTTTCGGATTTACGGGAACTTTCCTCAAAAATTTTAGTCCCACTAACCACCGTCTCGAAAGTTCTGGAATTCCGGATCGCCACTGGAAATATCCGGAAATTGAAACGACAGTACGGTTGTTTGTATCTGAGCGTAAGCACGTCACAAAAAATCAATTGCTCAGAATGGGTATCGTTACATCATTCTTATTACTCATTTTAAAAGGTATAGCAGACCAGTTACGCGAGTTTTGATCAGTCTTTCAAAGTGTTTTAAATGAAGTACAGCGGGAACCTTCAACATGGATTCATTATCTATGGTACTTCTGGTTTGACGTTTCGTCCACACTGGTTGAGAGCATTTCCGCGTGCAGCTATCAGTCCATCGGTTCTTGACAGAAAGTGAGACACTCTACTGTTACGATAGTCGCTTGCCGAAATTTTATTCTTAAAAGTATCGAAATATTCCTAGAAGGAGATCACGGGCCCTAGACATAAACGTTCTCTTGTCTTATTGTTCTCCACTTATGTCTCCTTAACCCTTTGAGTACCAACTACGCATATATGCGTAATTAATGGTCGTGCTCTTTGTACCACTTGTGAAGTCATCAATTTAAATGTCATCAGATGTTCTTGATAAGCAGATAGTAGTGCTAAGCTAGCCCTTTCCGCACAATGGTCAGGTTTAGATATCGACGACATTCCGACGTCGCAAATCGAAAAACAAGGTTATCAGTTTTGGTGCAAAAACGGTGGTAAAATGGTCCACAACGCCTATAATTGATCAAGGTCCATTTCTAGGCTTCGCCCGTAATTGACATCCAAGTTTTCACTGCAGCCAGAAAGAACATACAATGCAAAAGGTAGCCAGTGTAAAAGGGCAGAGAAAAACAGAAAGGAAAGGGCCAACAAACGAAATTGAGAA